TTGGCCCAGTGAGAACAAAAAAAAGGCCCTTAAGAAAAAAAACACAGTCAAGATCCCTGCAGTCCTTACCTCACCTCTTTGGAGAAACTATAGAATCAAGATAGAGGAAGAAAAAAGCAAACAAGAAAAAGTTAAAGAAGAAAAGAAGAGAATTAGAGAAAACAAAATTAAAATGAAAAAAGAGAAAATTACAAAAAGAGATAAAAAGGTCTCAAGGAAAAACACAGATAAACAAGAAGCCAAAGTTGAAATCAGTGACAGCAAATAAAAAATAAACAGAAGCTGTCCAAATGTGTGGAGGCAGAAAGTGCAGAGACTGTTTACGGAATGAAAGAGGTTTTTAATATCAATAGTTTGAAATCGGGCGACACAAGTTTGAATGTTCAGGATCTCCGTAAGGGGCAATGGGTCGTTGTCCCGTATCCATATGAATCGGGAGAATTAAAGTATTTTGTTGGTCATGTTTTATCAACAAACAACCAGAGTAAAACCTCGAAAGTAAAGTTTCTTACCCTGAAACAGCATAACAAATTTGTATGGCCAAATAAAGAAGATATCGATATCAAAGTGCCGTTTAAAGACGTTGTTAAAACTTTAAATGACCCAGATATTGATAAATGGGGATAACATACATTTTACGAGTAAAACAGGAAGTGATCTTCTAGACATTTTACGAGTAAAACAGGAAGTGATCTTCTAGACATTTTACGACTACAACAGCAAGTGATCTTTTAGACATTTTACAACTAAAACAGCAAGTGATCTTGTAGACGTTTTACTACTAAAACAGGATGTGATCTTGTAGACATTTTACGACTACAACAGGATGTGATATTGTAGAACCAAGCTGCTAAATGTTTATGCAATTTAGAGACTGAATGTACTGTCACAAAATATGATATGTTTAAATTTACAAAATGTAAGTTACATCTTATTTTTTAAATATGTGTAAGTTAGGCCTAAATAAAACTTTTTTTCAAATAGGCCTATTTATTTAATCATCCACACATGATATCAATACTGCAATATTTAATCATTAATATGCATAATAGCTTAAAGTGAGAATGAAAGTTAATTATTTTGCTCTAAAACGTTGAGACTCCTGAAATTCAGTGGCAGGCCTGACGGACGGTGGTCGTCTGCTCTGCCTGCAGTCACATCTTTAACTTAGTAAAACAGTATTAATATGAACTTATATTTTGCCAATAGGAAAATAATTTCAGGTTTATTATAATATTGTTCATTGTTTGCCACTGAATTAAAGCCATTAAACTAATTATTCCTTAAAATAAAATACCATATCTTTACAGTTGGCGTCACACCTCAACGCATTCCTATAGTCCTCGCCACCCTAAGTTGAGGCAGCCCAAGGCCGCACGGCGTATATCTAGTGCGGCCTTTGGCTGCCTCAACTTAGGGTGGCGAGGACTATAAAAACAACGTCTCAGGAATTTTTTTTTATGTTTTGTTTTTATTTTATATTTAAAAAAGTCAAGTTGCATCTTGGTGAAATATTAATAAAGAGTAGATTTAAAGTCATTTTAGGCTTGATTGTGCTTTTAAATACTTTAAAATAATCAATTTTATTGGCTGTCGATATTAAAATCAAAAATGTCGATATTAATTTTAGGTGTGTCGATAATACACGTCTGTAATAGGTTGGGTTGAGTACGCCAAAAAATCGTTATTATAACTTTACTAGCCTTGTTTTGATGTTATTTAATATTTCTACATGTATGTTATACTCTGGCATAAGTATTAAAAGTCTTTAAGTTGTACACACGGCTATTTTAACTCAGGCAATCAATAAATATGGCCATCACTACACCTTAGCATGTCGATATTTGGTGGTTTTACCTTAACCCATTGGCGCCGACTTACGAGCGTTACTCGTACGGCTGCTGCAGGCCCGGCGGCCGACTTACGAGTGCCGCTCGTGTCATCGCTAGGCAGCACCATTAGTTATTTAGTTATTATTATTTTTCGCCCTTTTTGTTTCTTCTTACTGTTATAATGTTTATAAATATCTTGCTTCTTGATTTGCGTATTTACTCATTTATTTTAGCGAATAACAAACAATTTTGTGTTGCCATGGAAACCACATATCACCAAAAATCAGCTGCGGTAAGGTAAAAAAAATTTTTTTTTTTAATGTTATTACTAATAAAAGTACACAACTTTTGATTTTTCTAAGTAGGGAATCGATTGAACTTTATAATAGTAGTGTTATTTGGTGTCAGGATTAATCTTGGAATTTGTATATCAAGTTTACTTTCAAAATATTGTTTTTAAAATTTTTATTTTTATAATCTTCATATATATATATATATATATATATATATTTTTAATTTAGAACTTTGACTATCCAATTACCACTTTTCTGTAGACAATTTTACTGTGAACAAAATGGCGAAAGAATTATTAATTTATTACCTAAAGTTTTCTTTATAGCAGTTAGAGTAAAAGTCTACAAATTCGGTAAAATTAATTGCCGCCAGAGGGTGCTGCAGGTAGCGCATTAATTCCTTTCCCAATGGGTTAAATATTTAATAATAGACAAATTTAAAAAATCACTTTTTTGAAAAAAATTCATTACTTCACTGCCATATCCCCTTAATTTAATAATAATTGTGTAAAAGAGTGCAGCTAGAAAAAAACCTTACTGGTGACATTTGCATTGGATGATTTTCTTAGATGAATTATAATTTTATACCAGTGGCGGATCCAGAGGGGGGGGGCGAGGGGGGCGACCACCCCCCCCCTCAGGCATACATAACAGGGTGTCCATAAAAAATGTTTCAGGACTTTGGGAAATGAATCCTCATACTAAAAGGAAGAAAAAAGTTGATGTGAAGGTATGTCCGAAAATGCATAATTACCAAGTTATCCGCCATTTTGTTTTTTGTACAAAAATATTTTTTTTATCTGTGAAGTTTTTAATTTGATGATTATGAAATTTGGTAACCATGTTAACATACTCAAGACCTATTATATAAAAATAATAAAAGTTGTTCCGATTGTAAATTTCAAAATGGCGGCCATTTTGAACTTTATAACTTATATAACTCAAAAACGACTAATTCTATGAAAAAATGTCAAGAATACTCTTTTTTAGCATTTTTAATTCCCTATCAAACGATACTGGGATCAAAAATATCAGGCAACAAATAACTTAAATAGAACATTTTTTAGCTGTAAGACCATGCAAAATTAAGGGATCCCCGACTAAATTTGCCTTTTTTTACACAAAAACGTTATATTTCAGTTATCTTTTGTCCATTCACTTTGTTTAATATAACAAAAAACTTTGACTTATTCAAAAACTTAACCCTAAGTATAGGGCCCTTGACGCCCTAGAAGTATAATACGCTAGTAACGGCCGAAATTGTTTTAGCGGCGAAAAAACCGCTTATAATCAACTCTGATATGAACAATATATATACCACTCGAAAGATCACATTCTCAACTTTCATTTTATTAAAAAAACCCTGTAGCAGGTATATAACAATGTCATGACGATTAGAAATCAAATTAATTTTTGGCGCGGCACGACTTTAGCAGCTGACCCTTAGGAACTGTCAAAACATGACTTGTTTGGCATTATCCTGCTCGGGTAATTTTCGTCTTGGAATGTGCGGGTGGTACCACTGGATAGCCATTGATTTTATCTTCATTGTGGTATTGATATTTAGAACGAAATATTGATTGCACAACAAAAGTTTTTATGAAAGATTTTATGAAAACAGCTGTTTTCGAAATTTATAACAAATGGCCAACCAGCGTAATACGCTAGTACGAAAAATACGAATTACATACAGTGTAAGTTATTATTACTAGTCATATAATATGTCATTTTGAAGAGGAAGAAATGTAGCTTGTGATATGTGATAGTGGCAGCCCTGCGTTTTCTCTCACTAAGACGACGAAAGTGCGTCACTACTGTCAAGGTCTCATACACAAAGTGCCTTGTATTCGTCATTGCGTCGCCATTGTGTGTTGTTGACGGTGAGTTTTCGCTCTCGTTTTATCCACAATACTAAATTCGTTATTATTTTGTATTGTTGGAGAAATGTGTGTGTGTGTATATAACAGAAATCTTCATGCATTTTATTATGCATGAATATTTACTGAATAGTGTGAAATTGTGTTTATAAAAGTTTGTATTTTTCTTGTGGTTTTCAGTTAATTTATATTATTATGCCCCTAACACGTAAAAAACAAAAATTGTTACCCAACGTGTTATACATTTTTATGTAGGTAATTGAATACACTACAAGATGATTATGTTGGTTTGAAGTAAAAACATTTGGTAGAAAAGTTTTATACTAAATACTGAGAATTTTTTTTACAAAATCGCTAAAATACAAAAACATAATTTTATTTATAAATAAAAAAACTATTTTCACCATAAACTTTATGACTTTTTTGGGTTCCTTACTTTATTAGCTTTACAAACATGTATATATCATTATTAGTATACACATATAACTTTTTACAACACAAACTATTACTGTACGGTTTTCAATTTTTCAGTTCTCTTGTTTGTTATTGTTATTATATTTCGCCCCAAAAACTTATAAAAAAAATATTTTCCTAACATGTTATATATTTTTATGTAGTGAATTAGATTATCTACAAAATGTATATAACGAATTTTTCATGAAAAATCTGTAGAAAAATTTTACCGAGGCTGCTTTTGAAATTTCAAAAGAAAAAATTCTACTTATTTTTCTCTTTACCGAAAAAATACACTGTCTAAAACATTATTATATGTATTACTATTTCTAGATTCACCTATTCTTTCCGAACAAAATGAATATAAGGTTGGCTAGGTTTTACTTGTACGGTTGAATTTTTACGAATGTTCAAAAAAAGGTCTGCAAAATCACCAAAATGGGTTAGCCATTCCCCACTTCTAACATTGGTCACTGCTAGGGTTAAAACAATCCATGGTGTAGTGATGGTAAAATTTATTGGCTGTCCAGTACAATATGGTTTACCTCATTGTCTTCTATGATGACTATCCGTTCCGTCTTCTCCTCTTGACTCCACTCTGCATCTACAGGCTCTGCTACATCCATGGGAGCTGTACACAAAGTATTGCAGTTATTTGTCTTATAACCCAGGTACCCACTTCCATCTTAGCATAAATTTGATTAAATAATTTTCCAATTTTAGAAAAGTATTCTTAATTGTGGACAATACCTTCATTTTTCTGTAGAGACTTGGCCTGAATCTCAAGAAAAAGCTACGCACGATCTAATAATTATTGTGAAGAAAAATTTACTTTTCTTAAATGTCTATAAATTAAATTAAAACACACCAATTTACATGAATAAGATCACAGATTATAATCTACATGGCCTTAATATTCACGAGTGTTGTGTTCAATATAGCCTGTGAATTTAAGTGCACGGAACATGTATTTTGCTCAAATACTTTAGTGCATTTCTTAATTAATTAAAAAAAAATTTAAAAAAAATTTTCATTCAAACAATGATTAAATGAATAAACAATGATTGACAAAGAGTTGGTCATACAGGGTGTATATAAAGTCCTGCACGGGCTTAATATTTTCCAAACGACAAAAGATAAATCAATAAGATTTGGTACATCAACACCACACCTAAAAATCTACTTTTTCAAGGAACTATGAATTTTCTGTCATATCATGGGGACGTCCCGCAAGGAGTCAGAAGGAAATCTTAAATAGGAGCATAGGTCAATATGCACATCAGTTTAAAGGGCTTAGCTAGCAGAGTTCAATGCCCCAAATTTTAACTCAAACGGACAACCGAGCCAAGAATGACAGTTGTTCAAATATTCATTTAATTTGCATTGCTATTATACGCTTACTCCTCAGGGGGCACAGATCTAGGAATCGGAAGAAAATTGTTAACGTAAGCATAGGTCGATATGCACATCAAATTTAAGGTCTTCACTAGTAGATTACAATGCCGTAAATTCAAGCTCAAAAGAACACCTGAGTAAAAAATGGCAGTCGTTCAAAGATTCAAAATGGCAGATTCAAGAAATCTTTGAACGGCTGCCATTTTGAGCATGATCAACCTTTTGAAGTGGGGTTTGCGGCATTGTATTTTACTAAAAAAGACCTTTCATTTGATGTGCATATTGACCTATGCTTCTATTTAAGATTTCCTTCTGACTCCTTGCGGGACGTCCCCATGATATGACAGAAAATTCATAGTTCCTTAAAAAAGTAGATTTTTAGGTGTGGTGTTGATGTACCAAATCTTATTGATGTATCTGTTGTCGTTTAGAAAATATTAAGCCCGTGCAGGACTTTATATACACCCTGTATAGTGTCGTCATTAAAGAGTTAGGCATCATTAGCAAGAATAGTGAAAATCAATATTAAAAGCAGTATGTATGGATAGTAGATACAAAAATCATTGTTAAAAATACATTTACCATTGCAGGTAACTAGCAGCTCAGATAGGATGGTGCGAAGACGAGAATTTCTATCTGCAAGAAACAACATTTCTCTCTCCTTAGCTACAAACATTTCATCAAACAGTTTATTGAAGTATGACCTCAAGTCCTCACACACTTTCTGAAATATAAACATATTTCATTAACAAAACCATTTATTGCAAGACACACAAAGTATGACAAAGTATAATTTGTGTCAGGGTTGTTCATCAATAAGCAGTGTTGGGAAGTAGCGCGCTACAAGTAGCGCCGCTACAGTTGCGCGCTACTTTTTTTGTAGCGTTAGCTGTAGCTACGCTACTTTTAAGATTTTATAGCTTTAGCTGTAGCTAGCTACATTTTTAACCCACGAGCGGGCGCTTGCGGAGTTTTCCTCCGCACTTGTAGTTTTTGTTAATATAAATATGCATAATGGGTGTCGGCAGTCGTGTCCGGCTCTACACTTCACGCACCTCATCCTGGTAATGCCCCTAAGCTATTTTTACCCCCGAATTCCACATCATTTTGTTGTCAGTTGCAATTCAGTGACGCGGTGTCAGTATTTTATGCATACAAAATTATAAACATGTTTAAATGTATTATTTCATTTATAATTATTATCAAATAAATATATTTTGTTTGTATGCATAATATGTAAAATTGCATTATTGCGGATCATAACCCTGCATGCGCCCTCTCTCGTAACATACCTAAACACCTTTGTACTAGAAAATTGCTCAATATGATTATTTGAAATATTAATCATATAAAGTTTAACAAATAATGTTATTAACAAAGAAATTAGGTTTCTGATTAGATTATTCAACATTTACATACAGACTGTCCCAAAAGTCCCGGACCGGTTTAATAAATCCTAAACGGAACTAGCTACAGTAATAATTTTTCAGACATGATTCCTGGCTACAAAAAACTATTTTTTGATGTGTTAGTCACTATTGCCCCTGCCCCCAAAAACCAAAATTGGGGGGGTTGCCCCAAATTTTTAAATGTAAACCCCTATCGAGTGACCCATCATTTTAAAGGTCTCGTTGAGTTAAACACAACAGCGCAAATCCGAGGTCAATATCTTGCTCCTGTTCAAAATGGCTGACCTTTTAGTGTTTTTTATGGTCACTGTACCAAAAGTCCCGGACCGGTTTAATAACTCCTAAACAAAACAAGCTACAGTAATAATACTTCAGACACGATTCCTGGCTACAAAAACCTATTTTTTTATGTTTTAGTCACTATTGCCCCTGCCCCCAAAAACCAAAATTGGGGGGGTTGCCCCAAATTTTTAAATGTAACCCCTATCGAGTGACCCATCATTTTAAAGGTCTCATTGAGTTAAATACAACAGCGCAAATCCGAGGTCAATATCTTGCTCCTGTCCAAAATGGCTGATCTTTTAGAGTTTCTTATGGTTATGTAATTTAAAATTGAACATTTTGTATCGTATACAAAGTATACACATTTACAGGTTTAAACACCGGTGGCCCTTTAACAATTGGAAACAGATAACATTTTGGGACCTTCCTACTTTAAGTTCTTAGTCCTTAACATTCCTACATTCGTTAATCCTTATCATTGCTGGAAAACCCCGCATCAACAAAACAATACCTGTAGCATTGGATATTATGGCTCAGTTATGAGATTGTGTCTTAGAATAATGTTGTCTAATTTTTCTAGGGTTAATTTTTACATTTATTACTAATAATTGGCAAACTAATAATATTTTTTCTTACTTTTATCAGTGTATGACTATTTACTTTTTAAGTATAATTCATTATGTCATTAAGTGAATCAGAAAGAATAACAATATTGATGATGAGAGGCTATGGTAACCTGACTAGGTCGTTTCAAGAAGTTGCAGATCTTTATAATGAAGAATATTACCCTCACCCACCTATTTCGAAATCCACAGTTGTAAGGTTTGTTCATCGTTTTCAAGAAACGGGAAGTGTTAAGGATTTGCCTCGATCAGGCAGGCCAAAATCAGTTTCAGGCGATGACAAAGCTATTGAAGTGTTACAAGCTTTCGTAGAAGATCCACATAACTCTACTAGAAAAGCTGCCCAACAACTGGATGAGATCAGTAAATCTTCAATACACCGTATATTGAGCAGCAACAAATATCATCCATATAAAGTAAGGTTAATACACGAACTAGCAGAGGATGACTTTGACAGGAGAGTAGAATATTGTGAATTGATGATGACAAAAATTGAAAACGATGAAAATTTTATCAATAATGTAGTTTTTTCAGACGAAGCTAGTTTTATGCTAAATGGGACTGTAAATCGCCACAACTGTCGATACTGGGCAGATGATAAACCACACTGGAAGCGTGAAGCTCATACCCAGTACCCGGAAAAAATAAATGTATGGGCGGGAATTTTCAGAGACCAAATAATAGGACCGTTTTTTATTGAAGAAAATTTGAATCGCAACAATTACCACCAGTTGTTACTCAATGAAGTTGTTCCTGCAATTGAAGCAGCAAGAGATGAAAATCATGAAACTTGGTTTCAACAAGATAGAGCGCCACCCCATTTTGGAATAAATGTCCGCTCGTACCTTGACAGTACATTACCACGCCGCTGGATAGGCCGGCTAGGGGCAATTGAATGGCCTGCCAGGTCTCCTGACTTGACCCCCTAGACTATTTTCTTTGGGGCTATCTTAAATCTAAAGTTTATACTACGAAGCCCCAGAACTTGATAGAACTTTGACAACAAATATCACACGAAGCTCAGCAAATACCAGGGGAAATGATACAGAATGTAGTACAGCATCACTATTACAGACTAGCACACTGCGTGACTGTGGAAGGAAAGCAGTTCGAACACTTACTCTAAACCCTGGATATCATCTCTTTGGTAAGAAACTTTGTTTTTGTGTGTAAAGAAAAAAAAATGGTTTTTATTACCAAGTGTGACCATTTTTTTTATACTTTAAACTATTTTGTACTTGTGTTTACTTTCTTTTAAAACTATAAAACTGTTTAATACAACCGATGGTGGTCAATTTGGAATTACATGACCATAAGAAGCACTAAAAGGTCAGCTATTTTGAACAGGAGCAAGATATCGACCTCGGATTTGCGCTGTTGTGTTTAACTCAACGAGACCTTTAAAATAATGGGTCACTCGATAGGGGTTTACATTTAGAAATGTGGGGCAACCCCCCCAATTTTGGTTTTTGGGGGCAAGGGCAATAGTGACTAACACATCAAAAAATAGTTTTTTGTAGCCAGGAATCATGTCTGAAAAATTATTACTGTAGCTTGTTTCGTTTAGGAGTTATTAAACCGGTCCGGGACTTTTGGTACAGTAACCATAAAAAACACTAAAAGGTCAGCCATTTTGGACAGGAGCAAGATATCGACCTCGGATTTGCGCTGTTGTGTTTATCTCAATGAGACCTTTAAAATGATGGGTCACTCGATAGGGGTATACATTTAAAAATTTGGGGCAACCCCCCCAATTTTGGTTTTTGGGGGCAAGGGCAATAGTGACTAACACATCAAAAAATAGTTTTTTTGTAGCCAGGAATCATGTCTGAAAAATTATTACTGTAGCTTGTTTCGTTTAGGAGTTATTAAACCGGTCCGGGACTTTTGGGACAGTCTGTATAATATTTCGTTATAACAAGTAAAATGGGTAAAATTTATGCTATTTAGTGTTGCGGAATAAAAATCTGCATGCGCCCTCTCCTGTTTTACTGATGAAGCGCCTCCTCGGGGGTTAAAGTACTGTAGTTGTAGCGGAATTTTAGATACTTTCTCGCTACATTAACATTGATTGAGATAGTGATTTTTATCACAACCTTACGTGAAACAACCTCTTTCAAACTGAGATTTTCAGGAAAATTAGGCCATTAGGCCTACTATCTTGGCTTTATACAACTGGTCACAGTAGTTTCATTACCTACCTGCGTGGACATGGAGGCCATTATCTGAGTGTTATCCACATTTTTGGCTCTCATTTCCTTCATTGCTACTCTATGATTACTGCTGTCAGATAAAATAAAATCGCTAGATGCAGAACACGTTTGAATGTTACCGGTGACAAGAGAAGCTATTGAATGCTTGCAAGTGATTGACAGGGAAATTATATAGTTATCAATTTAGTTTCTTTATTAATCAACAGTTTCAACTTGGCAGGGCCGTCCGAAGGGGGGGGGGGGCAACCTGCCCTGGGCGCCTTGGCTATTTGTATTAACCCATTGGGGAAGGAATTAATCCGCTACCTGCAGCACCCTCTGGCGGCAATTAATTTTACCGAATTTGTAGACTTTTACTCTAACTGCTATAGAAAGAAAACCTTAGGTAATAAATTAATAATTCTTTCACCATTTTGTTCACAGTAAAATTGTCTACAGAAAAGTGTTAATTGGGTAGTCAAAGTTCTAAGCTAAAAAAAAAATATATATAAAGATTATAAAAATAAAAATTTTAAAAACTATTTTTTGAAAATAAACTTGATATACAAATTCCAAGATTAATCCAGACACCAAATAACACTACTATTATAAAGGTCAATCGATTCCCTACGTAGAAAAATCAAAAGTTGTGTACTTTTATAAGTAATAACATTTTTTTTAAATTGTTTGTTTACCTTACCGCAGCTGATTTTTGGTGATATGTGGTTTCCATGACAACACAAAATTGTTTGTTATTCGCTAAAATAAATGAGTAAATACGCAAATTAAGAAGCAATATATTTATAAACATTATAATAGTAAGAAGAAACAAAAAGGGCGAAAAATAATAATAACTAAATAAAAAATGGCGCTGCCTAGCGGTGACACGAGCGGCTCTCGTAAGTCGGCCTCCGGGCCTGCAGCGGCCGTACGAGTAACGCTCGTAAGTCGGCGCCAATGGGTTAACATAGTATTAAAATATGCGTATGCGACTATTATTACTGGGGGGGAGGGGGCACCACAACCACGTTTGCTCCGGGCGCCTCCAACCCTAGGGACGGCCCTGCAACTTGGGTTTTAATGGAAACCATCCCTAAACCTTAAAATAATGAGAAAGCTCCATCAACCTTTGCTTCAGCTGTTGACGTGGTTCATGATCACAAGCCCTGGTTGCATTACGAAGATTTTTCAAAGGTTTAAAAATTAACAAAGAGGAAATACCCGATGATATTTAAGATATGCCTAGACTACATAATAATTTTGACAAAAAAATTTCCATATAACATGAAACTTACATTGAAAAAATACCATAGTTTTGCTCCTGCTAACAGCTCTTGTCAAGGACTATTCCTAGGCTATGCTATTGGATTAATACGAATAACAAGTTAAATTAATAGGAATATATCTGTTTAGTCCTTGTAAGAACAAGCCTACTATAGCCAACTTGTTACAAAGCCAAGTAGGCCTAAATGTTATTTTTACTTTACAATTTTCAACATGTTTAAATTAAAAAGCCGATTTCAGGATAAGTTGCTGAATACTGTTTTCTGTACCAACGTTTGTTAAAGCACAATTTGACCTATACATAATGGCAAAGGACGATTTCTTGACATTGGAAAGTGTTGTTCATAGAACAAGTAACATATCACAATGGTTAAAAGTTAAAGCAATGTCGTTTTTAACATAAAAAATAAAGAAAGGCAACTCCAATTTCAGTAGGCTAGGCTCTGTAGCACAAAAAAGCATTTTTAAATAATCGTTTAACAGTTTTATTGTTTTTAATAGTTGATAAAAGACATAAATGAATGTACATTAAATAAATAAAATAGGTTTTTAAAATATAGTTTAATTGTATGTCTTTTGAACTTAATGAAATGTGAAATATACATATATAAGATGCTGAAAAATAAGTACTAAATAGGAACACCCAACTAACTTATTTTGGTTGTGTTGTTGTAATGTTAGGTTTATGTAGTTGCAATTAATTTACATTTATACCTAATGTGCGTGGAATAAAAGTAACGTCTTTGTAAAAGTAGCTAAAACTGTAGCTATAGCTACATTTCATTGTAGAGTAAAAATTTTAAAACGTACGTTTTTAGGAAAAGCACTTTAAAAATTTTTTGTTCCGTTTTTAGAAACTTTTAAAATTTTTTTTATTTCATTAACATTTGAAGTTTCATAAAATGTCCATGGTAACGCAATATCTTTGGTGATTTTTTATTAAAGAGAGCATCTTTGATGGAAAAACACAAAATGTTGTCACGGACATAAAATTGAATATTAAAAATAGTTAATATTATTTTTATAACTTTGTTTTGCTATAAATTAATTTACTTTTAGGGCCATTGTACAGTAAACAACTCACTAAGCTTTTGGTATATTTGGTCTTTCTAGAAAAAAATAAAAAAACTCAAAAAATTGATAAAAGCCAATAAAATCTTTTTAAGTTTGTACAACTCCGAAAAAACTTACCTAAGACCCGAAAAATCGTTATTTTTTATAGAGGTGTGCTTCTTTTGTGTATAAAACATTGAAATATGATGATATTTTAATTTTTAAAATTTTTATGATAGAAATCATAAACGTGATGGTCAGGGACAAGCGGTACGGTCGTGAATTGTCTGGAATAATCTAAATCTTTCTAAACAGCCTTTAACTATAGGTGTTAGTTATAGTAAAAATATGACATATTATGACATATTCAATTGAGTTTCAATTGAACTAAACCGTTCAATTTACAATAATATTTAAGTTATTGTCACGACCAAACACAGTATAACCCATAAGGCTGGATTGGTCGTGAAAAAAAACCGCGATGGTCGTGACATTAAGTGTTATTTGGCTCTGTTCTGACAGTAGCCCTGCACCTCATGTTCGAGGATACAAAGTTAATCTAGCAATCGAAATATCTTATAAACAAAAATTAACACCATGTCTACTTCATCAAATGACCATGTACGGTCATCGACACACCAAAATTACAAAGTTTTAAACAAGTTTTTATTGCAAACAAGTATTATTTTAATTTTTACAAAAGTATAATATTTGTAAATAAATACCATGGAAGCAGTAAATATGTCATGAATTAATACATTTCCCAGTTTATAAAAAATACTGTACAAAAAATAAAAAAAATTGTTAAAACTTATTTTTATAATGTATGTTTTTTTTTACCCTTCCCGGACCGACTTTTATGGCCTAGGATGGGCAAAAAAAAATCCAAATAAAAATAATTAAAAAATAATGTGGGTCTTTAAAATTCTGTAAAAAGCAGTCACATATCAATGCACAATCACATGTCACAATCACCATACAAATTATACAGGTAAATCTCAATTGTACTTATTGTTTGTATTAATGAAATTTCTTATTATGTATTTGCATTAGACTGTGTGGCAGAATGAAAACTAATAACTTTATCGTAATGTAAACATCCTTAGTAAGAATCAAAAGATTACCTAACGGAAGATGTAAACAAACAATTAAACTACAAAAATATAAACAAATCCAAAAGCTGGATGTATTTTCAATATTTTATTTGTTATTAAATACAGCTCTTTAATTATTTGAGTTTGTGCCCTAAGGAGATGGTTTATCAAACAACTTAAATACCGCGGTGAAGTCTCAAATCAAGATCTTCTATTCAAGTATGCAGTTGATAGGTATGCAAATTACGGTTTCGTCAAAAGTTTGTGATCCTTATTAACTTAATATGTCATTAAAAATTAAATTTGCTCCTTAAAATAGCCACTTCAATAGAATAAATATTACATATGCATAAGAGTATTGACTTACCTGAAGCATTACTATTTCAGAAACACTATTAAATGAGGTGCTAATTTCAAACTGAGAACAATGCAATGGACTGATCTCAACAAACTGGTAGCTAGAAGAGCCAAAAAACAAATATGGATTTTCCTTTTCCACCTCTCCAGCATCTTCCTTATCAACCTTTGGAGAAGAAACTGATTGTGTAATGCCTATTGCTTTGGCTTCCCTAAAAAAGAATCAGTGACTGAATATCTACCATAAATAGTATAATCCCTAGCAAATTTTAGAAAGGTATGCTAGAAGCTGTAAGCTGAGTCACAGACCAGGCAGGCTTAAGTTGAACGAGCTGTTGGCCCGTCCTACGTACGGGAATCGAGTAGTCCATTAAAACTGTATATAGTTATGAACTCGATATTTCTATTCATAATTCAATAATTTTATTTCATACTAAACTATTAACATTTTACAAGATAAACACCTTTTTACCCTCCCTGTTGCAGCAAACCTAAGTACTCGTCAAACTAATGTTATTTAAATAGGGAATAAATGTGATATTTTTAAGGAGACATTTTAGTGTAAATCCAATCAGGCTGAATTTATAAATTAATTAAATCACTGAATTAGATTATTAGAATTAAAACTAAATCATCCATTTAATTCAGGCAGGGTTGCTTAAAAGTTTTTTTTTTTAATACAATAGACCAAAGTGGAAGGTGATATTCTAAAAGAATAAGATTTGTTACAAATTACTATACCGGTACTGCATTTCTTTAAAATAAAACATATAGGCAACAAAAAGTTGCCTCCAAATAAAAAAAATGTGAAAACACTGTTTTCAATGTATTTCTGATAGAAAACATTTTTAGGGAGTGAGCTTTCTAACAACCCATTGATTAATAAAATCGTTCCAGTAGAACTGTAGATATTAAGTTGTACAACAATTTTGAAAACTGAATTTTATAAGAGTGAGTAGATTTACGATCAGCAAGACAATGCAACACAGGGCCAACTGTTCAACTGAACCATTTAGTATTGAGGGTGATTAGGCATACACTACTGAACTAACCCCAAAAATACTGAACGTTGTGATCGACTCTTTGTCAGCGACCACAAAATAACAAAAAAAATTTTCTGTGGTCGCTGGACTCATGAGAGCAGTAAACAGATGTTTTGCGGGCAAATCGTGGTGGTGGGGGTTGCTACTGGGCCGAGCAACTCGGTTTTCAACTAAATCACTCGACTCGCTCTCAACTGACCTCTTTTTATCAACTCGCCCGTTGCTCGACTCGCCTGCATGTCTACACCAAGCGAGTTAAAGAGCGAGTGGCAACTCGCACACTGACTCGCCCGCCGTACTCGACCCGTGTAAACCAGGCTTTAGAGTGTGTAGATTTGCCGAAAAGTATTGATATGGACGAATTTCCAAAGGGCTGCGCCTGGCATGCTTCCAATGTTTACATGATTTAATTTAATTTGGTTAATGAAACAGCTGGTCAGTACAATGAACTGGTGTTTGTTTATTTACTCGAATAAGATGTTTGTGACGCTTTATGTAGATTGAGGAGGGTTATGTTCTGGTTGTATACGTTTTGTAAAGTATTGCTCAAAGTTTCATTTTTTAAATTTATATAGTAATCTACATTTGAAGAAGCTTGAATAAAATTGAAGAAAATGGTAAAACATGTCATTCATAAAGCATCGATATGAAGCAATAATTGATGCTATTGCTACACTAAGGTATGTTGTCATATTCTTAGGGATCTAACATCAAAAGTAGGGGTTTGAAAGTAAGTAGGTCTACGCTTTTAAATCTGCTTATATTTTCAAACTAAATCATAGAGTTGCTGTATGTATTTTAAAACACACATCAGCACCACTTTAAAAAGCTCTCTAGGTCACATGTTCTTCCCGTTGCAAAGCACGGGTATAGCAGCTTGTCTATATATTAATTTGAAACTGTTTTTCTTTGTGACAGCTAATTTGAGAGAACGGTTGGGTGTAGAAACTCGGTAGGGGCAGGCCCGTTTTTGACCCTGTCAGCGCCCTAGGCACAACTAATAGTAGCGCCCCTTTGCATTATATATAACAGGGTATCCACGCCGCAAATTATGCGTGAGTTTTTTTTAACCGGGAAATATGCGTGAGAATTTCGTATTTCTACTTAGAATGTTGAATTTACCACGATTGTGCATGACAACTGTGACTTTTCCGTGACCGCGGAAGACATGCTGAGATATGTCTACACACGGCCGCAAGGGATGATCAAAATTTCCCGCGATCGCAGAAGATGGTGATGATATCCATACGGAGCCGCGAGGGATGATCAGAATATTGCCGTGATCACGGAAGACGATGATAATGTCCACACACGGCCGCGGGAAACAGCAACAATTTTGCCGCAATCGCGGAAGACAATGATGATCTTCGCACGACAGCGTCATATGATTGACATTTTGCCGCAATCGAGGGAGACGATTACGATGTCTTCACGACCGCAGGAGACAATTTCGATGTCTGAGGGAGATACAATGATTTCTATACGGCCGCGAGGGATGATCAGAATTATGCCGCGATCGCGCAACACAGTGATAATGTCCACACGACCGCGGAAAAAGATCCAAATTTTGCCTTATTCGAAGAAGACGATGATCTCCACATGGCCGCGGGAGATTATTACCGTTTTGACACAATTTCGGGAGGCGATTACTATGTCCAAACGGCCACGGGGAAGATATAATGATGCCTTCAATGCCGCGAGGGGTGATCAATATTTTATTGCGATCGCGCAAGACGATGATGTCTTCACAATCGCGGGAAAATGTCAGAATTTTGCCTCATTTGCGGAAGGCGATGATGATCTCCACAAGACCGCGAGTGATGATTACGATTTTGCCGCAATCGCGGGAGGCGATTACTATGTCCACACGATCGCGGGGTAGCGGGGGACGATATTATGATGTCTTCACGGCCGCGAGTGGTGATCAGAATTTAACCGCTATCACGCACGACGGTGATAATGTCCACACGACAGCGGGAAAAGATCAGAATTTTTCCTCATTCGCGGTAGACGATGATAATCTCCTGACGACCGCGCGATATGTTAATATATTTCCGCGATCATGGAAGACGATAATTATGTCCACACGACATCGGAAAATAGTCAGAATTTTGCCGAAATCACGGGAGTTTTAACGCGATCGTATGCAAATAAAACCACAAAATATTTTACTTTTTTTGGTGCCCCCTAAAAAAGCCAATTGCCTCGCGCCCTAGGCACGTGCCTACCGTGCCTATTCGGTAAATCGGCCCTGGGTAGGGGTCTCTAAAGAAAGGTCTTGGTCTGTAGATGAGCCATCAAAAGAGAAACGTGGTCAATTTCCTTGGGGCTCTGCCCCAGTGGCCTTTAAATTCCCATCCCATGTTATTCTTATGGAGGAAAAACGGGGTTTTGTCACAGCTAATTACAGAGAACGGCTATGCGTAGAAACTTGGTAGGGGTCTCTAAAGAAAGGTCTTAGTCTGTAGATGAGCCATCAAAAGAGAAACAAGGTAAATTCCCTTGGGGCTCTGCCCCAGAGGCCTTTAAAGTTCCCTCTTCAGATTTGTTTACATTACGACCATATGCATACATTTACACTACTTTTGAATGAAACAGCTGTTAATATTTAAATTGTGATTTACTAAATTTGTCAAAATGAAGTATTTGCAATGGTTTTATTCTGATTTTAATAGTATATTTCGTACCTAGGGCCGAAAATGAGGTTTTGCCGGCTCGAGATAGTTTTTAAGTTCGAGACGAAGTCGAGAACTTAAATCGATCGAGAGCTGCAAAACCATTTCGGTCCGTGGTACGAACGCTATTTTTCACCACACTATACCCTATTACCACTATTCACCAATAATGCACACTGATCGTCAACACAACTACAACTTTAAGGTTATGTGATGAAATAATTTGAGGAATCAGCAAAAATATAAATAAACAGTTGCTAGGCAACGGTGATAATAACAGAATTCTATATTGCAATGCTATGGATTTTGATTGTGTATTTAAAATGTTTTAAGTAAATTATGTTTTAAGTAAGTAAGCGGACAGTTGATTTTGCGGCCCCGGCCTGTAAAAACCTGCTCGGCCCCCAAATTGGCGACAGCTGGCATGGCCAGCAAAACGTAACTTTCAGCCACCAATTAACGTTATGTAATACAGCCAAAAACATCATAGTGTGGTGAAAAATCGATTTTCTTCTGAATCGTGCAATGTTTTGCAATATAATGTTCTATTACAAAATCAGTGGAAAGTCCTAATATCACAGTATTCACAGTACAACCTGAGACTTTTAATACAACCATAGCTCAAATGACCAAGCCTGTCATGCCACAGCTTCATTTCTGTTTCAGTTGAAGACACTGACAAAGCTTTGTGTTGCAAAAAATTTAACATATATAACTGAGAATTGTTTCTTTTTGCAACCACAACAGTTTGATTATCTTTCTTAATCAAGCCACATGAATTTGGAAAGATAACACAAAAACCATTCATTTCCAATTTTCTTACTGAAAGTAAATTGTAACTAATTCCAGGTACAGATAAAACATCTTTGATTGTTATTTTAATTTCCTTCCCTTCCACAACACTAGTGACATACAATTCCCCTTTACATTTTGCTTCAAGATAAGTTCCAGACTTGGCTACTTTGATTTTAATAGGTTGTTCTAATTTCTTAAAGTTAGAGAGACATACCTCATTACTGTTAACCAGATGTTCTGTTGCTCCAGAGTCTAATATCCAATTTATGGTATCTGCTGAACAAGTGAACAGTCTTCACTTGATGTTCCAAAACAAACTGCATCTTCCTGTTTGGTGTCGACCACGTTCGCAGAATTATTTTTCTTTGATGGATTCTGTGGTAATTTGACTCTGCAGTTAGCTCATTTATGTCCAAGCTTTCCGCATCTGTGACAAGTGAAATTGAACGAGTTGCCAGAAGTTCCTTGATTTCCTGGAAATTTTTCTTTTTCCCTGGTTGAGACTGGAAGGCAGTAGGTGGTGATGTACAATCAAATTCCATTTTTTCAACGCCCCTCCTCTTTGTCTCCTCTTCCAGCAGTCTGACCTTCACAAAGCTTAGAGATAAGTCCTTCATTGATAGAGTCTCTATAGCCGTGACAACGATGTCATATTCTTTGGGCATGGTCAGTAGTAGGTGACAAACAATGTCAGATTCC